TTTTTTTTTTTTTTTTTTTTTTTGAGATTAGGAGAACCTAGAATCCAGCTCCAGAAGGAAAGGTGAGCAACCCTGAACCCAATAACATTTAGTTAGTGAGCCACTTTTTAGAAGGATGCAACTAGATAACACGATCCCTGCCTCACCCTTGTGGAGAAGCTTTGTGGGAATGTCTGCCTTTAGTTTGATCTGAAACCCACCTCCCTATTTAGAAAGAGGTTTATTTTCTAGTTGAACATTGTGTGTTCCGATTTGCTCTAGGCAACACTGCTATGAGCTTCTAAGAAGAGCATGATATACAATCCCTATATCTGGGGACTGGAGACAGAGAAAACGTGCTGTCCATATGTGTGCCCCTGGAATTCAGAGAAAAGTGGGAGTACTGAAAGGGGATTGGCAAGGCTTCTGGGAGCAGTATCCCTTGAGCAGGGCTCATAAAGATGTGCAGGATTTGTGCAGATGCAAAATGCATAATGGAGGAGAGGCTGGACATGCTCATGACTTGAAATGTTCTGTTGGTTTTCCTAGACTAATTTAATTTTTCTTCTGCTAACAGCACTTTGACTTACCCCTCTCAGGCATATGATTCAAATGGGAGCAGCCACATATCTCAGCTTCAAGAGTGAGCTTGTGACTCAAGTCTGGCCAACCAGATTTTTTTTTCTCCCAGTTGGTCACGGTGATGGCATGTGATCTAGTTTGTCCATGATTCTAGAATGATTGGAAAGGATTTTGTTGGAGCTTTTAGACTACACAAATCTTCTGAAGGCTAAATGCAGAGGGATGCAGAGTTTAGCTTAAGGGAGAGAAAAAGGAGAGAGAAATGTAGCAGGGTGAGAGGGAGGATTGAAATTTTGATTTGATATTTTTCAAGCTCTGCCTACTCTTCACAATTGCATAGGCTTCAATCAAAAAATATTTTGGGTCTTGAACCAATTAGAATTAGACTATGTATCATCCACAGAAAAAAGACACTAACCAATGGAGTTGTGAAACTAGTACATAAACTCTAGTCCAAACATTTTGAGTCCCCAAACTGCATTCCAAAACCCACTTATCTATCACAAAGTGCCAACACCACAATTAAACCTGAGTACTGAGTGGCCAAGAGTGGTGGCTAATGAGTTGCAGCTCCTGATGTTACCACCTGGTGCCACTACTCCTTCCTGAGCATGTGCATGACCCGTATGTGCATTGTTATCTAATGCTTGGCTGCGAGTGTGATGCTAAGACAACCTGGCTTGCAAGTCAACAGAGAGAGCTCTGTGTGCCTGCTCCACGCTGTAGGTTTGCTGCCCCTCCCCAGCCGGATGTCAAAGCCCTGCTCCTACTCTTCAGAAATACAATTCAAAGAGCCATCCACCAGCAGATTTTCTGAAGAAAATGAGCCCACAGTTTAGCCAGGAGGAGTCTATAAGGGCATCTTGTAAATTCCCTTGTCCTTTAAAACATATGTATTCACTTACAAACTCCACTTTTTAAGACACTGTCAGCTTTTCTTCAGAGATTGGCCTTCTTTATCTGATCTTCTGTGAAATCTCCAATTTATTTTCTTTTGATAAATTGCTTTTAGAGAAAGCTTCTCTTTGGTCTGTGTTCAGGGGGTTCCATATGCCCAAGTAGTTTAAGTGGCTTCATTCCTTAGGTGATTTTGAAAATGGCTCATTCAAAAATGGGCCTTAATTTACAAGAGAAAATCATGAGAAATACCACATTGGAATGACCTCACAATTGTCTGTGATGTGGGCATTAAGGGATACTGGGGGCAGAGGAAATCTTTCCCTCCTCTCCCATCCCCTCCAGGATTTCAGAGACTTTGATCATTTCTTTCTTGCCTTTTATGCTCCTAGAACAAAGTGGCCCATTTTGATCTACCCTTGAATGGCATCCTTATCCCCTAACTCCTTGATCATTTCCGATGTCCTCCTCTTCACTTCCCCTAGCTGCTTTATGTCTTTAAAAGGTATGCCCAGAACTACACACAATATTTCTAGAGATCAGAGAATCAGGCTTTTATCTTTTCTCATTGATGTTAAAAATTTGATCATGATAAAATGAATCATTCTGAGGAATTTGTATTGGAATCTAAGCCCTAAGTGGTTCCTTTTTCCTTCTTTCACTCACTAATTTAGTCACTTAACAAGAAATTAGAAAGAAGCTACTGTTTGCTCAAGTTTGTGCTAGGTCTTTTGGGATGCCAAAGAAGGTGAGAACTCAGTCTCTTCCCTCAGATTATGCCTTAGTGCTGATAATGCAAGACCACTTTATAAGAAGTCAATAATAATAATGTCTCCCATTACAGTCTTAAACAAAACACAGGTATGATTTTCTCCTCATACTTTCATTTTTCTAATGAAGGACTCAAAGATGAGTAGGGATACTCAGGGTGATGTGCCTGTGAATCAGCTGATTCAACAATCTCCAAGTTCATTCCTTTCTCCTAAGCAACAACTCCTTTTACCAGCCATGCAGCAAAGATCTTAACCTGATGTTCTGAGACTCAGTAGTAAAGATCCAAATTAAAAAATGAGTTACAGCCTGAGATAAATGTGAGATTGAAAACATTCTATGGCAGATAAGCTGGATTGTCAACTTGTTTGGTTTGTGAGCTGTCTAGGATATTAGTAAAGACACTTCTGGGTAGATCAAGGAGGCATGGGAAGTCTGACTTTGGGTACTATATCTGGTACCTGACTTCTTCTTCCCAGGTGCTGCTCCCCTGCTATGCTTATTAGCCGCTATGAATTAAAAAGCTTTTCTCGTCCACCCCCTTCTACCATGATGCTTTTGCTTTGGAGCCAGCTGACTGTGAACCAAAACCTCTGAAACTGTGAGCCAAATAAACCTCTCCTTCTAAAATTGTGGGTGTTAGGTATTTTTATCAGTAACAAGAAAGCTGGTTAATATAGCATCCACAACATAAGTGTTGCTATGGTTTGGATAAACGTCCCCCAAGGTCCATATATATAAGGGTTTATTTCTAGGGAGATAGTGCCTATTGGGAGGTCCTTAGATCACTGGGAGAATACCTTCAAAGAGGATGATGAGATCCTGGTCTCTTCTTCCACCTCTCTCAGCTTGATGAATCATGATGAGTGGTTTTGCTCTGTGCAGAGTCCTGATATGATGTGCCAGCTTTTGTCTGAGAAAGAAATCAATAATGCCACTAGGTATTGGACTGGAACCTCCAAAATAGTGAACTAAAATAAATCTCCTGTCTTTGTAAGTTACTTATCCCAGGTATTTTGTTATAGTGATGGAAAAATAACTAATGCATGTAACTATGAAGGGAAGGCTTGTGAAATGTAATGCTCCCAGTTTAAGGCATTCCTGAAATCTTACTATGCCTCAAACACAGGCTGACTTACTTCCCATATCAACCCCATGCTAGGAGACCCATATTTTCACTGCTTTGACTGCCATTCCC